AATTTCATTCGCAGTATCTAACTTACTTAGAAGCTGCTGTTGTACTTGTATCATACTCTCTTCTCTCTTTTCCAGTCTGTCTAATCTATAAAAAAAAAAGCTTATGGAATAATTACGGATTATAAAATATTTTTTTATTTACACTTCTTGTCCTACTAACCGTTCATGGAGTTGTGCTGTGTTTTCATTATTACATTCTATTTGTATTTTTTTCAATATTTCAAATTTCTCAAACCAAACAGGCATTTTGTCACTGTTGTTTAATTTTAATAATGATGGACGGTGCGTTGGTGATGGACTAGAACTTGATGCTGGTGATGACAATTCTGGAGTATTCAAAACATGAGATTTTGTTACTGATGGAGTAGATTCAGACCTAGAAGATTCATGCAACAAATCTGTAACATGGAAAAATATACTATAACTAATTTTATTTAAATCAAAGTAATAACTTGATTAGCTATTACAAGTGTTATAAATATAACAATTACGTTAATGAGTTAAAATCATTTTTAGTGAGGAGCAAAAATGTATACAAGGTACCCACCCACCCCTACTTCTTTATCCATTCTAACAGCATTTCCACCATAGCAAGATATTCAACATTTACAAAATATGCATACATTTGTAGAGATTTGTGTAATCAGATGTACCTACTTAATTAGTTAAATTATCACACTCATTAATTATCTTGTATCTTGATTTATATTTAGTGTGTGTAGATTTCATAATGTTTCTTACGTTGGTATAGGTATGAGTTAGCACTTAGCACCAATTGTTACCAGTGTAATGGACCATGTACAGCACACTTGTGCACTAAATTTAGTAGACTAGGTAGATTGTGGAGGGGGACCACCCAACTACCAAAAATGTTGAGGCGTGATTGCTCCAAAATAATACTTTTGCCACTGATTATTATACAATTAATTCAGTCCTGTAAAGAATACTTTTAAAAAGTACTTGAGTAAATACTCAAATACATTTTTTTTAAAGTATTTAAGATAGGTACTACTCAAATACTTTAATTGTATAGTATTTCAAATACTTTTCAAATACTTTTGGTTTTTAAAGTGGGTTTCTAATTATTGTAATATAGACACATAGGTAGTGGGTTTATAAACATTTTTATTTATTATATATTAAATATATTTAATACTATATATTTAATACAAAAAAAGTATTTAAAATACCATTCAAAATACTTCATGCTGAAAGTATTTAAAAAGTTATTCAATACTTAAAAAAGTATTTGAATACTTTTACTCAAATACTTTACAGGACTGACAATTATACATATAAATTTCATTATGTCTCGTGCGCACGCCAATGGTAAAAGGTAATTGTAAATACTTCCTTAAAAAAAACTAAGATATCTTACTTTCTGGAGGTGAAATGGTCTGTTTTGATACTGATGACATTGCATCTTGCATTAGATCATAATATTGCCATTTTACGCCTCCATTTCCACTGCGTTTACTAGCATCGTGTACCTGTCGGAAGCGTGTGAGCAGTCGTCTCCACTTTTCATCACAATGCTTCGCAGTATAATTGTAATTTTTATTTGTCATTTGGTTGGCAATTTTTTGCCAGAGTGCAGTTTTTTGGCCCTTTTTTTTAATTTTTTCAAATTCGGCACTCATTGGACCTCTTATTGCAATAAGCATTTTTGTAGCTGCCACTGGCCATACATCTATAAAAAATAAAAATAAAAATTTCATATCGTCAATTCTCAAATCAATGAAATACATACTCGGATTGTCTGCTTGATTATTATTTGCCTGTACTTCACCATTCAGTTCCTCATCATATTCTTCAACTACCATATCTTGGAATTCATCTAAACAAAAGTAAAACGAGACAGAAGTGTTTAAAAAAATACTTCATTATGTAAATTACATTTACCTCCATACTCAGCATCATGTCCCATAACAATTATCTCATTTTCCGAGTCCATGTTAATATTTTTTATACTACTAATACTACTAGGTCTCTTTTATGAGCAGGTAGTTATATTATTATACTTAGTAGTATATTTTTAATATATAAATCACGTTTAATAGTTAAAATTTATTGTACAGAATATGCATATTGCATATTTTTATTTTTTAATTTGGTTTAGTGTAAAAATTGATAGTGAATGATGTGATAACAGATAACAAGGGGAAATTCAGGTTTAGGGTGGGGACGGATCGTGATCGGTATTTTTCGACCACCTCGCTACAGTGGTCGAAAAAAAGTAAACCGTTGTGTCTCGATTCTTAACCGGTTTAGTCCAGCGAATTTCTTAATACTGCACCGGTTTACTTTTTAAGGGGAAATCTACACCGGTTTAGTCTGGCGAATTTCTTGGATGTGTACGATGTACCCACTACCCAGTACCCGTATATTTTGTAATTCGATAATTAATAATTTTATTTATAACCGCGCGTCAACTTATCAAACGGTTTTTCCGGTGGAGACCGCCGTCTTTACGGTGCAATCATTGTCATATTTATTTTGGTAGATACACTGATAACCACAGTCGCCAGTCACCAGTAAAGTTCACCACTACACGTTCGGTGATACGAATGATGTTTATTTTATTCCTTATTAACAGTATTATAATATTATAATATAAAATTTATAAAATATGTTTAAGTATAATAATAATATGTCTGACGTGTGTCCAGGCCCACCCTAGGGAGAACACATTATATCGACAAAAATGTTCTGATGAATAATGATCGTATAATACAATTTTTTTTTTAATATTTCAATAAGACTATTAATATTTAAATCTTTAGAACTACTATAAAGAATGCATATAGTTATATTAGTAGGTACGCATTTACTAAAATATTACATTACATTATTTTACTCATAACCTATATTATATTTTTTCTCTTTCAAATTTCAAAACAGATCAAAAAATAAACAAGAAAAAAATACTAAATAGGTACTGTTTTTGGGAACTTAAAAGTAACTCTTAGCCAGGGCCGTATTTAGGAGTTGTGAGGCCCAACTTAGATAGGGCATATATTATATACAATTTTCCTTTTTTTTTTTATGGCAAGATCTAAAAAGAAAGTAAAAAGTGCGAAACCCTAAGCGTGAGCTCTGTTCGATATCTTTAAAAAGGACGACCGTGCTTTTATTGCTAGCATCCTTCGCTATCGCTGGTGTACACTGCATATGAATTATGGGTAGCACATCACACAATTTGATTAAAAATGTACTTTTTACATTCTTACTCTTTAGTACCAACTGAGATAATGATGACATATATTATATTATATATATTATTAATATACTCGTTTCCATCTAAATAATTTCCATACATTATATTAGAAATGTACCCACGATGGCACAATGGATTGAGTACGAGGTCTTTGCAATTCGGTTTATTTTTTTAAGTATATCATTTACGCGCATCAGTGGCGTAGCCAGGATTTTGTTCGAAGAGGGATGATCAATTTTTGTAAAGAACAATAAGATTTTTGTAGTAATTTTCATAGACCATTAAAAATTTAAATAATTTTTAAATTGTCTTGATATTTCGGAGGGGGGGCTGCAATCACCTCAACCATCTTTCTGACTACGCCACCGACCCGCGTTTATTGAATATATTAGTTATTATTGGTATTAGGTACAATCAACATTTATTTTACCGTATTATTTATATTTATTTATGTAATGTAATATATATATATATATACTATATACTATAATATTATATATTATATACTTACATAAGGTTATTTAATTTTCATTAAATGTTCAATATTCCATTTTGATATATTAATAGAATTTAGTCAATATGAGTTTTTAACATTTATATGCTTTCTTACAAATAAATTATAATTCAATTATTAAAATTATTGATTTACAAGATTAATATATGTTAAACATTTATTTTAAGTGTATTTTAAATGTTTAAATGTCATTGAATTTTTAATGTTGTATTTACATATAATTCTTAACATTTAATAAAAATTATTTTTTAATATTTCTTTCTAATAAAATGTAAATTTAATTTTAAATGTTTATTTTTCAATATAAAATAAATGTTGAAATATATTTAAATTTTAGTTTTAAAAAGTGTAAGGTTATATCGTGGTTGTATAAATGTTTAATAGTAAACATTTAATTTCCAATCAAAATTAAACATTTATAAAACCATTATGATTGACAATTGTTGTGTGGGTGAGGTTTCAGACCCAAAATGTCGATTTCTACTAATATTTTACTTTTTCAGGAGAAAATCCTTTCGGCCTTAAATCAACGCGTTCAATTGGACACTATTTAACAGACTTTCAGAAAGCGTTTGATAAAGTTAACCACAACATTTTATTATATAAATTGTCTTGTTTTGGTGTTCATGGTACATTTTTTAATTGGTTAAAATCTTATCTATGTTCTCGTACCCAGATGGTAAAAATTAATAGTTATGTTTCTAATGATTTTTTGGTTAGCTCTGGTGTACCTCAAGGATCGCACTTAAGACCCCTCTTATATATTTTATTTATTAATGATTTACCATCTATTTTTGATAGTTCAGTATAGGTGTTGGAACGGTTTAGGTAAATGATAATGGTAAATTTGTATGCCTCATAGAGAGGATGGTCAAATTTGTTCCAGTTATTCAAGAACATGTTCGTCGAATAAAAAATGGTGAAACTCATGATCATTATTTTGGTCACCAAATACAAGATGAACTGAATGAACTTATAGCACAAACAATTCGTCAACAGATTGTGGAAGATATCAATGAAGCTAAATACTTTTCTATAATGATGGAATGCACTCCATATGTTAGTAAAGAAAAGTAACTTTCTATAATTATTCGTATTCTAGATATGGGAAACAAAAGTATGTCTACAATACCTTGTATTAAAGAATATTTTATTGAACAAATTAAATAGTATAGGCATTGATCTAAAAGATTGTCGTGGACAAGCGTATGATAATGGTGCCAATACCAAGGGGTTCAATCAAGAATAATAGCAAAAATCCTAGAGCATTTTTTTCACCATGTGCGTGTCATGATTTAAATTTGTTGTTGGGCGATATAGCAAAGAGTTAAACAGTAGCGGTTGGGTTTTTTGGCACTATGCAAAGAATATACTGTTTGTTTGCATCTTCTACAAAACGCTGGGATATTTAAAAAAAAACATTGTACTTTCTTAACACTAAAACCACTTTACCACTTTCAGAAACTAGATGGGAATGTCAAGTCAACAGTAACAAAGCTATACGTTACCAAGTACCTGAACTTATTACCGCATTAGAATAAGTGGCTGATAATACTTCAGATCCAAAAACGAAAAGCGAAGCTCAGTCATTAGTTACAAATGAACTAGAAAGTTATGAATTTATTCTTAGTTTGATCATTTGGTATGAAATATTAGTCGAAGTAAATACTGTAAGCAAAACTTTACAAAATATTTGTATTCATTTGGACAAATGTAGTAACCTTTTAAATGGTCTTATACAATTTTTTAAATCATTTCGAATGAATGGTTTTGAATCTTCAAAAATTAAAGCTAATGAAATATTAGATGTCTTGAATACTGACAAAAAATTTAAAAAGAAGCGTCTTAGAAAGACAAAAAAGCAATTTGATTATGACAATTCTGATAAATGAGGATCTTGAAAACAATTTCTGAATAGTTTATTTTAATGTAATAGCTGATGGAGCTATATATTCATTTAGTAAACGATTTAATCAATTTCAAATTTTTAACAATTTCAGCTTTTTATACAATTTTATTTTTTTTATTTTATTTTTTTTATTTATTGATCGAAAAGAAAGAATATACATAAATTATTTTTATAAATAACATTTTCGATTATCTATCTTCTTTAAGCAAAGCTTGTGTTGGAGATACAGAGTTATTAAATTATGTAATATAGTTATTTATAAAGGAAATTATACTAAATTAAAAGTTTAAATACATATACAACTAAGTAAACAAATAACAATATATTTTTTTTTTTTAGAAATTATACATGATAAAACAAAACTATAAAATAACATTATATTCAAACATACACGAATAAAACAAATATAGATTAAAATTATTTACATAGCTTAAAATATAAAAAGAACTTGATTTAAGGTAAATTGCACCGTAACCAAGTAGTATATATTTGTATGTTCATAATTCGTTTTTCCGCGGTATTTTTTTTTGTTCAAGCGGGAATGTTCCACTCGGACGACTCAGAATTACCGTATCACACAATACGGTGATTTGACCCTGAGTGTCCACCTATTTACTAGTGATGCACAACGATATGTTTTCCATTACCGATATCGATTCTTTAATATTGATATCGTATCGTGATATCGAATTACAAATGATATCGATATCGATATACGATATAATGATATAAATATAATATATTAATTTATAAAACTAAAAAGTTTTCAGTTTTTACTAAAAACATAAAATAATACCAATAATACTATAACCATACTGGTACTACTTACTTATTTATTATAAACAATATGATATTATAAAAAGTTTACATCGTATATTATTATTAATGCTTATTAAAAAAAATAAAATAAAAACTAGAAAAACAAAGTATTTACTAAATATTATTTAGTATATTTAGTAAATAATATTTAATTAAAATTATGGATGGTATATTATTCATTATTCACTGCTTCCTCCAAATTTTGAATAATTGCTTCCTAAAAATTAAAAATATTTAATATTTAATTAAAATAATAAAATTTATTATATTTAATAGCTCATATTTTCATACCATTACATTATCCTTATTTGGTTCATCTTTTTCTTTCAAATATGAATTCAAAAAAAGTAATTGATTGACTCTGTCCGGTGATAACCGATTTCTTCTTTTAGTAATGATTTGACCAGCTTCACTAAACAATCGTTCGCACGGAACACTTGTTGCTACTTCACTTAAATATTTGTTTGCCATCTGTGAAACTGCAGGATATATTCTCTCATTGTATTTCCACCATAATAATGGATCTTGATTATGACTTATTTTAGCTGTCATGCTTTTATACTTATGAAGTTCATCTTCATCTTCGTTCTCTTCATCACTATTAGCCATAAGAGATCGTATTTTTTTGGTCGGTGGTTCGACTGGTTCGTCTTCATCAGAATTTACATTTTGACCATAATCACGTTCAACTGCTGTTATTGGATTCGTTTGGTAGTTTTTAACTTCATTTTCTAACTGTTCTCAGACGGAAATTTTTTGGGCATTCGGTAAAAAATGAAGTTTGTGGTATCTAGGATCTAGAGCTGAAGCTTTTGACAGTATAATGCTCATCTGATCTTTTCTTGCATGCAATTTAAAAGACTTTTAATTAATCGATTGGCAATTGACGCAGTTGCATATTTTTCCCCTCCCAATGTTTCAGTCACTGATTCAAACGGTTCTAACACTGTCACCAAATCATTCATATTTTTAAATTCATTAGACGTTATAAGCCACTTATCCGTTTTTCTATTTTTGGATATTACGTTATTAATTGAAACTCGGTGTCGTAAAATACTTTTAATCATTAAACACGTAGAATTCCAGCTAGTTATACAGTCTTGTATTAGCTTACTTTTATTTTCATCACATTTTTCTTGTTCTTTATCAAATTCATGCTATGCTGACGAACTTCGATTAAAATGCGCAACAATTGCTCTCAACTTGTTCGTTAATAATTTTACTGATTCATTTTGAAGCACGGTGTTCACAGATAATTGAATAGAATGTGCAGTACATCTAATTAAATTGTCCTGATCTAGGTCTCTAATAGCCTTTACCATATTAGACGCATTGTCACTAACTATAGCACACACTTTATGTTCGATTTTCCAATTTTGCATAACAGATTGTAAATTTTTTGTAATATTATCTGAAGTATGCGATTCCGGTACCTCAACCGTTTCTAAAATTCTATTGCGTAATGTCCAATTGTCCAAAAAATGACATGTTATACCCAAGTAATTGTTGTTTGCCATAGATGTCCAAAAGTCAACAGTTAAACATACATTAGGTATATTTTTTAAAACTTCTTTTAAATTCTCCCTTTCTACTTTTGCCATTTCGTCAATTTGTCTTGTTATAGTCATTCTACATGGGACAATATATTCGGGTACAGCTATATGCATGAACTCACGAAATCCTTCACCATCTACTATACTAATTGGTTTTAAATCTTTGATAACAAATGTCATCAAACCTTTAGTAAGCTCTTTACTACGATCACTCTTTACAGATAGTTTTGAGGTATATACTTTAAAATAAGTTTGAATACCACTTGATAAACTGGATTTTGTTGATGTACACGTTTGCAAATGTGATTTCAAATTAGTGGTATTATCACTGTACGCAATAACAGAATTACACACGCGACAATGCACTTGTTTTTTATTTAATGTTAAGCCATTATCATCTATTTTAAAGCCAAACTGAGTCCATACATGACTTCGACCTCCAGGCAATGGTACTAATTTCATATTACTCATAATAATAATTTAAATTAAATGCTATTTAAATATTATGTGAATAAAATACAGGAAATAAATTCGAAAATCGACTACGACGACCGACGGAAATAACGAGACTAACTGCAATATTAATATTGTACAAATTCTATCATGTTCATGTTTATAATGGGTTCCTTAACGTTATAGTATTGCTTATTATTTATTAGTAAACACTAATCTTTCTTTATCGTTCATTAAATGTCAAAACTGAAATAAACAGAAAATACCTTAAAATCTTTAATTAAATGATATCGAATATCGATGTACTTTCGATAAATTAGTCTAACGATATCATAAAATTGGCTCGATATCGATATCGAAATACAATATCGTTGTGCATCACTAATAGTAGGTTTAATGACGAGGGAAAACGAATGGAAAACCTCAACAAAACCACTAGTATACGAGTATTTCAATGACGTAGCGCGAGATGACGACATGCCAGAGGTGGGCGTAGCCACTATTATATTCAAACAGTTAGATCCACCACTTCTTACGGGGGAGGAGAACCGGGAACAGTTAATCGCGTATCGAAAACTAGCAACGCGAGTAACAAAAGAATTTTATGTGAACAACCCAGACATTAGAGTAGAGTTGTGGGATAGGTTCAAAATTACGTGTATTATGAGAATTATGAGTAAAGCGAGACCTAGATTAAACTAACACATATCATAAGAAGTATCATTAATAATTAAAGTATAATTAAATATACATTCAAAAAAATAACCAATATTAATATATCTTAACAGAAATGACAAAGTGAGGCCGGTGGGTGTGGCAACCAGTTTTTATGTCAACGAACAGCCACCGAGACTGACGGGAAACGAAACAATTAAAGAATTAAAGTTGTACGAAAAGATGGCAGGAACAGCTATGACATGCTTAGGGAAACTAAAGAAAGAACGTGGGTCTTTCCAGACAACACAAAATGGTTTAATTTCCTATTGGATTGTGACAGTAGGATTTCGCACTTAAAAAGACCCGAACCACGAGGAGAATATATACAATGGATTTCATAAATTATCATTGTCATATATTCACTCATGTTATAAAAAAAAATAATAATAAAAATAAAACAAAATAAAAATAAAAAATAAATAAAAAATAACGTATGTGTATTAACTTTGTTCTAATAAACATATATTATGTTGTTTGGTAGGTTCATGTTAATAACGACAATGCAAGGACAACTACCATATACTGTCGAAGAATTTAGGAACCAGACGACACTATTCTGTGAAAATCAAGGGCAAATTCGGGTAATAGGGGCCCATTGGCAATTCCTTACCTACATGTCCTTACAAAATTACGATAATAGGCAAGACAAGTTAAATAATGAAATAGGTGTAATGACCAGTCATCGTAAAGAAAAATTAACGGAATACGAGATATGTTCTCGATTTGATAATATACTAAAAACAATGTTCTAAGAAATCTCAATACAACGGTAACAAATGTACGAATCAATTGGTAGATACATCTCAGAAAACAAAGGGGAATCCACACCAGGACCTTTTAGACGAAAAAGGGGATTAATAAATGTTATGGGATCCGCTATGAAAACATTATTCTGAGTATGTGATGACGATTGTGCAACGGAAGCAGCAGAACAAATTGATAGAATAGAACATAGTAACGAAAGAATGATACATATTCTTAGAAATCAGACAACTGTCGTGAAATCAGCAATTACGGGTATCAGTAGTGCATCTAATGGGATTAATAAATTATATTCGGAATTGGGGGAGAAGCAGGGAATGCTTTATACGAAAATTAAAGAATTAGTTAACAATACCCAAACCTTGGAAACACTAATTCTAACCAACCGTATACACGGTATATTCACAGCACTGTTAACACAGTATTCTTATGAAACGACTACCATAAGTGCTATCATTACTGCAGCCAGAACGGGGGTAATCCACCCTTCACTGATAACGCCACGTAAACTCGCTAAACATTTAACCGAAATAAAATTGAATTTACCAGTAAATTTAAACTTACCTATGGGAACGAATCCAAGCGAAATATACGAATTAAGTAAAATTACTAAAATGGCAGTTTTCTATTGTAACAATCTGACTACGCTCGTTTGATGGTGTTGAGAATAAATGAACAAGAGTTTGGTTTTTCTTTATAATTTGAATACTTTTTTATTTTATTAATACAAAACACAATAAATTTACTAAGTCCAAAATGACTATTTTAAATAATGAAGACTAGCGAGATGTGACTTTCATATCCTAGCTCCTAGCTTGTCGTTGGTGTTGGTCCATTTTTTTTTTTAATCGTTTGCATATCCACACCACTCGACAACTTGCAGTGTATGTACATAAGCAAAACGATGTCAAACATTTTATCGATAATAATATAATAAATCTAAGGCATTAGGTATTTTATTTATATACCTGGCTAAATCCATACAAATTGGGTTCGTTAATTCCCGATCTATGACCATGTCAATTAAAAATCTTTTTATATTTGTCATTATTTCTCGAATCTCTGTATTTTCATATGGCATTAAGATAGAATTATTTGCAGTTATTATATGTATATCAAAACACTCTGTAAAATTAAACCATTCCCCTTGTTCTGGATTTATATGTATTTGTGTTGCTAGATTTATATTAATTTCTTGCAACAATTGATTTGCTCTATCCATGTTTATTGGATCCTATAAGATAAATGTTATTATTTTTTTTTTATTTATTTAACTATTTGTTTATTATTTTTTTTTATTGTGAGGTATCATTGTTTAAAATTTTGAGCTAGATTCTCATATTTATATTGCCTTATCACATAGTCAAATATACACTTTGTATAAATGACGTCTGTGCGAGGATCATGGGCATATGTTAGTTTATGCTTTTTATGACATATTTTATGGTGAGTCTCCTCTAGGTTCATTAATAATCCCCTTTTGTCGAAATATCCTATCTCTAACTCAAATAATACCTGTTTGTTCTCTAATTTTCTATCATTATCGTAAAATTTTTATTAAAATATTTATCATAACAAGTTATATTTAATATCGGAAATTGAACTATACCTAACCTTTTTAAAATATTTTTATCTGAACTTCCATTCCATACTACTATCACATTAATTTTATTGTCCCTTAATATATAATTGGTTATATAGTTTACATTTAAACTATTGACCTCTGCTCTTAAACTTTTTTCTAATTGGTCCAAACAAGCGTCTCTCAATTCCGTTTTACAACAGTAAATACGTTTAATCTCCCTTTGCGCTACCAGAAGTTCTTGGTCTCTCATAGGTCTGACCTCTTCATTCACTGGTAGATACAACGGTCGACCCTCTAATTTTCTGATTTTAAAACGGTCCAGACTGGTTTGATATTGCTCCTGATATTAGCACCATACTAGTTTTATGTATCATCGAAAATTCAAAGTCCATTATAATGAACTTATGTGTGTCCTTTCTATAACATCATATATATTAGTTTACTAAATATTTTATTTTATTACATTTTATAATAACATATTTTTTACATTGTTAATGATCTCTTTTTTTTAAATATATATATACCCGCTTAAATTTGCCTTTCACCTATGACACATGGTAGATTTGTATTTATTGAAAACCTATCTGGAGTATCTGTTATTATTTCCTCACGAATAACACTTTTGCTAGCACTTTCATAGGGCACAGTTTTTACTATAGGTCTCTGTGTCTCATATGATTGTTCTGGCCTTAATTCTATGTTTTCGCTTCTATAAAAAGTACTCATACTTTTAGGTTCACTCTTATTTTTAGGCTCATTCATATAATATTCTTTACTTTGTACTGGTCGTGATCTATACGTTCTTTTTAAATCCATATTACATTTATACATTACATATAAGATTAAAATTAGTATGAAGGAAAATAACAATAGTCCTATTATAGCATATATTAAATAATGATGGTTAGTTTGAACATGTCCATTTTGTCTATCCAACTCATTTTCTACCATTAGTTGTATGTCGTCTAGTGAATGAGCTAATTCATGAATATTATCTAGTTTTAATAAATCGTTTTTATGTTTGTATTTAGGCATTTCCAAAGCTGGTATGGCTTTAGGAATTTTCATCGCTAAACTACCTTCGCTCAATTTAGGTATGAAGTTTACATAGAATTTATATTTTATTTCCCTAGTTGGATTTAATACTATATCATTGGCATAAGCTCTGCAATCCTGATTTAAATATATTAGTCCCTGACTTTGGATTTTTAGGATATATGGTTCTGTTTCCCGCTGACATGTTATCGTTAATGTGTCATTAATAGTTGTGTATAATCAAGTGTTTGAATATTTTAATTTATGATATATATTTTTGGTAATTATTATTACTCCTGCTTCACAATTGTTTGTTAAAACTTCTGGATTTTTAAATAATGATATTTCACATGGTTGTCTAACCGATTCATATTGTATTGGTTGAAATTCTGGGCATATATTAAATAATTCTGTTTCAGTGCAACTTAAGTACTTAACAATTGTGTTTCTGTAAAAGTCGTATAATGTCGTCTATTTTTCGTTATTCCTACATATTGAAATTCTGGTTTTAAAACTATACTGTGATTTTTATTAAATCTATGTGGTATTGGTAAGATTTTATACAAGGTTAGTTCAAGTTCTGTTACTAATGGAATTTTTATTAAAAATACTATTTGATTACCACTATAATACACCGCCATTTTAGTTATTTTACTTAATTCGTAAATTTCGCTAGGCTGTGTTCTCATGGGTAAATTTAAGTTGATGGGTAAATTTAATTTTATTTTTGTTAATTGTTTGGCTAACTCCCTAGGAGTTACTAGACTTGGATGTAAAATTCCTGTTCTTGCCGAAGTTATTATAGCACTTATAGTTGTTGTCTCATAAGAAAATTGTGTTAGTAGGGCAGTAAAAATACTATGTATTCTATTACTCAAAACTAACGTTTCTACAGTATGTGTGTGGTTGG